GATTTCACAAGTTTCAAAATCTCCCCTCCCCCCACCGCATCCCAAAAACCAGTCCAGCTCGTCCCTGCCTCCCTAACCTGTTCTTCCTCCCACCTATCCCCTCCTCCCACCTCAAGCCGCACCTCCATCTCCTACCGACCAACCTCATCCCGCCCCCTTGACCTGTCCGTCCTCCCTGGACTGACCTATCCCCTTCCTAACTCCCTACCTACACTCACCTTTCCTGGCTCCATCCCCGCCTCTTCGACCTGTTTGTTTCCTCTCCACCTATCCTCTCCTCTATCCCTCTTCTATCCGCCTCCCACTCTCTCCCTATTTATTTCACAACCCCCTTCCCCTCCCCCTTTTCTGATGAAGGGTCTAGGCCCGAAACGTCAGCCTCTCTGCTCCTATGATGCTGCTTGGCCTGCTGTGTTCATCCAGCCCTGCACCTTGTTGTCTCTAACATTTTAAAGTGTTTTGCCAAAGAAGCACATGTGAATTGATTAACAACCTTTTTACGCGACAAATCGCTAGGATTAGCAATGTGCCTCTTTGAAATTTGGTGGAAGAAGGTTCAATTGAGACATTCTTGAGGGGCATTGGATGATGATTTAAATAAAAACAGTATGTAGGGTTATGGGAAAAAGGCAGGAAATTTCCACCAATTAAAATGCTCCGAGAGCTGGTGCAGACAGGATGGGCTGAATAGTCTCCTCCTGCACTGTCACAATTCTGAGATTCTATGAAATTTTATTTTCTTACCACAACTGGCTGTCTGATATCCATACAAGTCATTGTTTCTCCACTTAAGCTGCAGAAGAATCATCCTGGATGCAGTGTGTGTTGGATGTGAAGTGCAAGCACTGCCTTCCTAGAGTACAACATATATTCAAATCCCAAAGCCTTGGATACAGTTTGAAACATGCAACCCATCAGCATCATTCATTGCTGAGCTTTTTAATAGAAAAAGTACTTGTCTTCATAGTGTTGTAGTTTGCAAAAGTATCAAAGTCCTGCTGTACATTTACTACCCACTGGTTAGTGGGGAAGATGAGAGACTAGTGAGGAAAGCATTGGAATCATTGAATCAGGAGCTGAAAAAGATCTGGAATCCAAGTTTTGCTGACATTTGGGCTGGGCTGGGTATTGTCATAGCAGCCCTTGGTGATGTAGAGACCGTAGGGTTAGAAGCACAAGTTCATTAGGAATACCAAGGTTGTGAGTGGTTATCAGCTGGAGATAGTGTCTGGGAAGTGGGAATCAGGAATCCGATCAATAAGCAGGGCAGGCACAAGTTGAAGACTCCGGCTCCTACTTTCCCAATGTTCAACTGTTGGATATCGCTGCTTATCTCAAGACTGGATCAGAGAGATGGTGGAAAGATAGGGCTGGATGTGTTTGTGCAAAATGACCCCATGTGGCCAAGAGGCAGCATGCAGCTGAGGAAGAGGAGACACTCCAGGATCAACCCTGGTCAAACTAGCAGCTCAACCTAATAAGAAATGCTTGATGTCCTATTAATACATGGCTGAGATAGAGTTAGTGGAGTGGCAAAGTTTGGTTCCCTGTCCTGGTGTTTCTTAATGGCAATTATTACAAATAATTTAGAAAATTGCTGCATGCTGATTTGATCATTTACAGAATTGGAGTCTCCAGGATATTAACTATGGATTGCTTTTATCTCAATTCACTGTTTACAGAATTGTATTTTGATTGTCAGGTTACTTCTGGTGTGACTTCAGTTGAGTCTTTTGAAGGTTTTGCAGTAACAGAAATTTCCTTGGTTGAGTTTGTTCGCCTACTAACTATTCCCTTATTCCATTCACATGTTCATAGCTGTAGACTAGAACAGAATAAAGCCTGTCTGCAATAGAAATCAAATGAATGGGTAGTGATGTGCGGTTGTCAAGTTCTGAGGAAGGTGGGCTGGTTAATGCTTGGCCTGAGGAAATCTCTAATCTGGAGGAGACGGTGAGACGCTTGCTCCAAATGCTTGTGATGCGGAGGCTTTGACTTTGAGTGGGATTACTCTCACTTCAGAGTTTGATTTTTAAAAACCTATCCCAAACAGCTGAAAATTGTGAAGCTGGACTGTGAAGCCTACCTGCTGCAGTCATCTCTTTTTACTTCACTTGTTCGGCCTCCCTTGACCTAAATATGGTATTAATGGATTCATCATTGGAGAATTTTGAGGTTTTTATGTAAACCCAACAGTAGAGGAATTGAATAGCTGTGGTACTGAGTTGTATGGGCTAGAAGAAAAGCAGGATAACATTGTCTAAAGGGGTACTGATCCAATCTGCTTTTTACTTGAAAGTTCATTATTTAGAATTATTTTGCTAATTTGATTTTCTTAATTAGT